GGGTGTGTTTTGGGGGGGGGGGAGGGAAGGCAGAGAAGGCAGAGGCGGCTTACTGTTAATTTAGAGTTATAGACAAAAAAAGAAAGATTAAAAAGTAGACAAAGAAGTGGATAAAGAAGTCTTAAATTTCAATGACAAACAAATATACACATCCAACAAGCATCTCAATGTCCAACACATTCTCAAAACATTTCCAGTAAAATTTTACAAATGTATATATCATTAAAAAAGCATTGTTTTTGCACAAACTAAACTGTTCTATATCTAGTCAAAAAGCAATGCTGTAATGCTGTAGAGAAGCTCCTAAACAGCTTCAATCAATTACATATGACATTCTAGTTTATAATGTGAGTTCAGCAGTTTTTTACACCACAAGAAGAGAGATATGACTGCAGAAGATGCACTATGACCTCTACTTTCTTTTTTCTATTTTTTTAACTGCTCACAAAATATTTTGAAAATATGAGAACAATTTCAGACAATGCAGTCTAAAATATTCATTTGCATTACACTTTTCTCTTCCGTGGCATTTACAGAAATCTTTGGCCTAAGGAAAGAAAATGACTGAACGAGGCTGCAATTCAAAGAAATAAAAAAAACAAACAAAAAACTCTCAAAGCTTAATTGAATATACAAGGGAACAACTTACAGTAAAAGCATATCAGTAATCTGAATACTTTTCCTTTCTCTTAAGCTCTTAAGCTCTTGCTTTTGAGATCTTTTATAATGGTATTGCTGGTAAGACTTTTTTTTTTTTTTCTTTAATATCATCTCCAGACTTTGCAATGTCACCTTGGATTTTTTAATGTCTCCATTCAAACTTTGTTGGAAATAAGACTGAATTCAACCTTAATATGAATCACCATTACAAGGTAACTCAGAGCACCTTATGACCAGTCTTCTGGTCTTTCTGCAGTCTGCTACAAAAGGAAAGGAAAACTGTGGTAATGTCTGCTGTGAACTAGATGCTTCTCTACTAGCAAGTGAACAAACCACTACTAAGTTTTCTAATTAAATAGCAGAGATTTTCAGGCACAGTAAAAAAGGTCTATAATCAACCAGCAGCCTCCCAAATGTATATGTTTCCTCTTATCCTAATTCTCCAGAACCACTTTGCTCTCAAGCTTGTATTTAAAATATGTATTTTAAAACTGAGCAAGGAGGCCAAAACTATGAGGAAGAAGTGGGCCTCAGACACCTTACAGTATGATAACTGGAAGTTTTCGTTGCTGAAACATGCAGTAATTACTGCTTTGCCAAATGATCCTGTAACAGAACTATGCATGGAAGATCCTCTTTATGTATTACATATTTTGGAAATACTCCCTTAAAATCATCTTAAAATGTTTCTAACTGCTATATTTGGCTATGTTTCAGTCAATGTTACAGCTGAGACCATCCAATCTCGAGGAAAATTTTTTTCAAAACAAAAGTCTTAAATCACTATAGGAAGACTGTAGCATTTAGTGTCTCTGAAGCACTCTGTTTACTTCTGCTACACAGGAATCATTATTAATTTAATTGCAGAATGGAAAGAAAGACTGACAATGAAGACTGAAACTACGTTACCTCACTTCCAGCGCATTGAATCATGACCTGGGACATATAAATTACATTGCCAAGTGTTTTAATGTCCTCTCCCTCCCAACAACGGATAGCTTCTGTCAGTATTTGTAGTTCCAGTTCTTTCCGTTTCCGTACTTCTTGACATTGTGCCTAGTACACATAGGGAAAAATACCACATCTATCAATTCAACTAATTTGCAGTAGGTAAAGAGTATAAATAGCACTACAGTCATATTTACTGTTGCGCTTGTACTGCACAAAGGACTGTATCTCATCTAAAGCATTTCATTTAGATGATTATTGGTAGTATTTCTTATAAAATCAGTTTTGTTAATTTCAGCATTATTATTTTTCCTTTCAATACACTGACCTCAATTACTCTAATTCACAGTCACAGCCATGTTTCTCAAATTTTTTTCCTATGAATTTAAGCCAGCAGTGTATTTCTAACCAAAAATGGCTATACCAAGCACAAAATAGTAATACAGCTGTCACGTATATTCATGATCATACATGAAAGTATCTTTCTGTAGGAAGAAGAGTCATGCTAATTTTGTAAACAATGTGCGTGTATGACCTCGTGGTCCTGTTTTTATAACATGTCTACTAGCTGTACTCCACTCCCACTTATCTGATTTCACTTCTTCAGAACAAGAACTGCTTCCTCCTATTTGTGGATCTCATTCTCTTGGGTGGTCCCCCAGCTTCTTTGGAACACAGATAACAGTTAGTTTGTGCTCAAAAAAATAAAAATATGAGGCTACCACCAGCCCTCACTTCTTAAAACATTAAGTATTTTGTAACTGAGATTGTGTTAAACATAAGCTAGTTGCACCTCTTAGCAAATAGCTCGTCTGCGCAAATCAGACTTATCCCTCCTCATTATTACTAAGAGCTGCACGTCTCCTAAGTTTCATTAGCACTTTCCTTTTCCTCCTACATCTCCTAACTCCAATATCATTTCTCCAGAAGGAAACCTCAGAAAATATACTCTAAGTGTTGTAAAGAATCCCTTCTCCAAGCCACTAGTTATGCTAGCACTAGTATAAAGTGCAGGTGAAGCACCAGGGAGAGTAGACCGAGAGGTAAGAAATGCATGTGTAGCTCTGTTATGTTGACAGTCTATTCGCTATAATACCTCAATAAATTACCATCCTTAGCTCTGTCCACACACAACATCAATTTCCAGGCTTTCAAAATGTTTTTACACAAAAATTTCTTAGACGAGAATTTACAAAGAGCTTTACTTTTTTAAAAGCAATTAAAGGGAGGTGAAATTAAAAACATTCTCCTTAATATATCTATTTTTCATCACTCTTACAGAAAGATTTTTGAAGGCAGTCATGGATTTTTGTATATCTGGTCGATCCGGATGATAGTCCTAAAAATAAGGGGAAAAAAACACAGTAATATTTTTAGTTCTAGTAAAAATAATAAAATTCTTTGTAGATACTTAACTATAAACAAACAAACAATCCTGTAAAATAAAAAAAAAAGTTTTTAGACCTATTTGCTCTCTTCTCACAGCCTTCTTATTCTTATATCAAACTCTGGTAGTCTTGCTTGTATTCAAAATGAAGAGTCACTTATAGCCAAGGAAATTTTGCAAGGCCTAACAGACCAAAGATCGCTTTCCAATCTACCATGTTAACTGTCTTTGTCACAAACTATGTTCCTTCCAGACTAAGATGACACGCTGTCACTGCCTGACTGAAATTAAAATGTGACAAAAGACCCATAGGCTTTTTTATTTCTCTCCCTCTGCCACACCCCAAAAATCTAACCTATTAAATGCAAATGTGGACATTTTTGGACCATGTTCACTAGAAGTCAAAAGGGACTATCTTGGTGATGTGTCCAACTGGTTGAATTGTTACGATGAGAAGCAGCACTCTTTCTACAGGATAAAGTAGCCTCAAGTAGCGTGCAGGAGACAAACTCAACATCAAGTCAACCAAAGACCAGGCAAGACTGACCTAGGAGCGACAGTTAGCCTCTCTAGGAAGTTTTACTGTAAATATTTAGCTTTTGGTGGAAGTTTGACTACATTAAGTTTTAAACTACTGGAGCCCATTTTTTAGAAGGCTGAAGGAAGAGCAAACAAATTTAATTTTGGGTCCCATCATGTTTGACATGTACCTTTAAAATAATTGTTGTCAAATCATCATTAAGCTGGAACATAAATGCTGATAAGATATACCTCCATGTGCCTTTCAAGTTCTTTGAGTAACGTGGGGTATTTATCCAGACGCATAAAAGGTTTGCTGAGGCCTGTGGTCAATACAAGGATCCCAGGGCTGTTGGCACCTTTCATCTCCATGAATTCTCCTAGCTCCTCACTGTGCACACAAGATATTTAAACAAATTAAGACCAAATTACCAAGACAGTTAATATTACATTAGATTTTTTACTCTAGTCTTTCATCTGCAATGGATTTTGCCAAGAAAATAAGAGGTCAAATACGGTGTACTTGAACTGCTTTTTAATGTAAGTGCTGACATCCAGTTCTGCATTACATAAAACAGAGGAAGACATTTGCAGGTTTGGGTTCCGTCACTAATCCAATGGGAGCAATGGACATAGGAACAAACCCATCATTTTAGGCAACGGATGCTCAGAGACAGCTCCTAAATGCTACCCCATACAAGCAAAGATTACAGAATAAAGTCATTTGCACTACATTTTAAGTAGATTAAGTACATTTTTACCAAGGGGAAGTCATGCTTGACCAATCTGATAGCCTTCTAGGATGGAATGACTGGCTGGGCAGATGAGGGCAGAGCAGTGGATGTTGTCTCCCTGGACTTCAGCAAAGCTTTTGACACTGTCTCCCATCACATCCTCATAGGTAAGCTCAGGAAGTGTGGGTTGGATGAGTGGACGGTGAGGTGGATTGAGAACTGGCTGGATGGCAGAGCTCAGAGGGTTGTGGTCAGTGGCGCAGAGTCTAGCTGGAGGCCTGTAGCTAGCAGTGTCCCCCAGGGGTCAGTCCTGGGTCCAGTCTTGTTCAATATATTCATCAATGACCTGGAGGAAGGCACAGAGTGCACCCTCAGCAAGTTTGCTGATGATCCAAAACTGGGGGGAGTGGCTGACACAGCAGAAGGCTGTGCTGCCATTCCGAGGGACCTGGACAGGCTGGAGAGCTGGGCAGAGAGGAACCTCCTGAAGTTCCACAAAGGCAAGGGCAAGGTCCTGCACCTGGAGAGGAATAACCCCATGCAGCAGGACAGGCTGCGGGTTGACCTGCTGGAAAGCAGCTCTGCAGAGAAGGACCTGGGAGTCCTGGTGGACAACAAGTGAAGCATGAGCCAGCAGTGTGCCTTTGTGGCCAAGAAGGCCAATGGGATCCTAGACTGCATTAGGCAGAGTGTTGCCAGCAGGTCGAGGGAGGTGATCCTGCCCCTCTCCTCAGCCCTGGGGAGGCCTCACCTGGAGTACTGTGTCCAGTTCTGGGCTCCCCAGGACAAGAGAGACATGGCACTACTGGAGAGAGTCCAGCGGAGGGCTACAAAGATGATGAGGGGACTGGAGCACCTCTCCTCTGAAGAAAGGCTGAGAGAGCTGGGCCTGTTCAGCCTGGAGAAGAGAAGGCTCGGGGGGAGCTGATCAACGTGTATAGCTGTCTGAACGGAGGGTGTCCAGAGGATGGGGACAGACTCTTCTCCGTGGTGCCCAGCAACCGGACAAGAGGCAACAGGCACAAACGGAAACACAGGCAGTTCCATCTAAACCTGAGGAGAAACTTCTTGACTGTGAGGGTGACTGACCACTGGCACAGGTTGCCCAGAGAGGTTGTGGAGTCTCCTTCCCCGGAGATATTCAAAACCTGTCTGGACATGGTCCTGGGCAATGTGCTCTAGGTCACCCTGCTTGAGCAGGGGGATTGCATGGGATGATCTCCAGAGGTCCCTTCCAACCTCAACCATGCAACCTCTGACCTTAAGGGGAATTCTCATAGGTAATGCCCAAGCATAAACTAGTCAATGGCTCCAAGTTTAATCATGTGTTGAGTACAACAGATTACCGGGCATTGCTATTTTGAAGAAGGTAGGAATTAAGGAATGTTTTAGAACTTTTTTTCCCACTTACGTATTCAATAACCACATATCACACATATAGGTTTTAATGCAATGCGGCCAACTACCAAACAGCCATACAAGTGGTAGATCACAGCAAAAATAGTTAATATGCCGTCCATTCTCATATGAGTTATGGTTTCATTGAGGGTAAAACTACACAATACAGTTGTTTTGAGAAGGAAAGATGACTTAAGAAGTCTACACACTCCAGATAACGTGAACTGCTACTTCCTCTACCCAGAGGATTTTTTGAAGTTGGATCATTTCAGAGAACTTTTTTTACAGCTTGGTCCCTCAACTTATTACATTAACACAGCTAAAAAGGCAACAGAGCACCATGGGAATTAAAGCTCACTTTACTATCAAAGAAAACTCACAGTATATATATTTTTAGCTTCCTAGTAAAGCAAAGATTTCAGAGGACCAGCACAGAGGTCAAGGACAAGATTTACAACAGCTTGTGTGACCAGGAACAGAATTAGCCTTTCTCTTCGGGAAAGGAAGGGACAGTAGCACTTGGGCTTATCTGAAAACCTCAGAAAACTCCTGTTTCAGAAGAACATGAGATTGTGAAGCCAAAAAAACTAAATAAAGGAAACTCCGAAAGCCACTCATTAAAAAAGATAATATCTTTTTGCATTCAAGTTGCGTAATGCTAGACTGCACATGGCGCTGCTCATGTCTTGTGAGTCCTTTTTAATAGTAAATTCACTAGTTGTCAGAAGAAAGATATTCTCTTGTGACCCTCATCTAAATTCTGTGCTAACATGTTCTGAAAGTCCTTACTTCCAACTGATTAGCATCAGTACGTCCCCAAAGGTTAGAATTACTACTAAAACAGATTTTCCCCCTAGTTATTATTATAATCTTATCTTTCAAAGGAAGTCTTAGCCAGCTACCATATTCACTATTTTTAAAAACACAGAGCTAAACATCAAACAGCAACAAAGGAAGAACACTTGTATATTATGGCCACATTAACAAACTAACCAATTACTCCAATACAAAGAAACGCCACTAGAGAAATCTCCTTTTTATTTAAGCCTGGATAAGAAACTTGGAAGGGTAAATACTCCAAGTCATGAATGCTATGCAAAAGCATTAAATACAAAACAGACCTCTCAGTCTTCCCAACCCCCCCCCCAACACCTCTGCCCATTCCAGAACAACTAACAACTAGCAGTTGATTAGTGCCATCTATCCAAAGGGGTGAAAAGAACAAAACAAGAGCATGAACCAACTATCTCATGCAAATGCTTTAACCATCATCCACCCAGATCTCTCTCCTCCTGGCTGTTAAAAATTTAAAGCTTCCCCAAATTCACAGAACAATGTACTTGTCCATGCAGTTATCACAAGCTCTTGCTGTCTTCAGAGTAGTCAACTTGTATTTACTTACACTGCCTTGTTCAAATACATGCAATACTGTTTCTGAATTGTAACCTCTTTCACGACACTTCATACCCATTTTAACCGGACCTGGGCACTTCTCAGTGCATCTGTTTATACCGTTTTTACTGTTCTGAACTACAAAACTGAGAAAGCAGATGAGTTTTCTAACAGCTGCATTTCTGCATTTTGAAGATCCAAGGAGAACAGTTCAGCACACTTCAGAATGCCCACAGCTCCACAGTGCAGACTTTCCAAATCCCCTTCTCAAGGGACATGCATTAGCAACTCCAGCTCAAGGCAAGATCAGCTTTTAGTCAAAATTAACTAACACTCATGGAAGATCTCTTACCCTAAGTTGCATGGAAAGTTATGACAATGTAACACAGATAAACTTGAATGGGTTTTTTTGGCTTAAATTTAGATTTAAGAAATAAGGCTGTCCAACTCTGAATATCCTGATCCTCAAGACCTACTTTGTCTTAAGCCTTCTTAGGCACATCCCTCACTAAGCCAAAAAAAAAAAAAAAAAAACTTGATGACTAATTCTGGTGGCACCCTAAACAAGAAAAAGGACTTTGACTCATATTTATATTAGTTTTGAGTATTACCAGCTACTTGTTCATGGAGGATTTAGGCTATTTCACTGCAACATTAGGTGGAATGGCTGAGGCGTGGTCACACATCTTCTCCTGCTGACTCAGCCGTAGGGGGGCAGCTGTCTCCAGCAGGGTGATGCAGTGGACAAATGAGGGTACAGTGCCCAACTTCTACAAGAAGCTTTACCAAAGCTTAACCTGCGAAAGCCCTTCTGCCTGCAGGAACTCAGTGGTTTTAAATTTCAGCTCACTAATTACATAGCATTGGCCTTCTATGCCATTACGTTTTATATTACTGTTATCCTTAATTCTACCGGCATGCACCCCATATCCAGGCCACCACAATAAAGTGGTGATAAGCACCTTCACCTAAACTTTTCTTTTTTTTTTTTTAAAGTGGTAAGCATTTGCTATGAGAACTAACAGGAAGAAAACGTTTAAACCCATTCTTTGCCTTTTGTTTGCTTCATGCATATACACAGCCCTTGCTGTCTCGCTTTTTAAATTACTTCCTTTCACATTACCTATAGTCAGCCAGCACTATCTATACGCACCTCTATGGTGCTTCGCTTTTCTCTCCAACATACATGTTGTACAATACACTCTCGTCATGAGCAGCACGGGCCACACAATTTAACACTATTCTGAACAATGCTAATTTTTGCTCTTAGATCGCAAAGATAAAAAATCCTCATTCCTAATTACTTCAGCCTTCTCCATGCCACTGTGTGCATATAAATGCTTTATAGAAATGGTATTTGCTGAGCTACCCAGTAACACAATGGGTTTTTATTATTATTATTTAATGCCTCTACAGTAGAAGGATCATTGTGGTAACCAAACCCATTCCACCCACATTCACATTTCTAATTTTCATATCACTGTTCCATTTATTCCTAATTTTGGCATTGTAAAACTGCTTTGGCAGAAAACAGGAAAAAGCCCACTACAGTCTGCTCCGAAGCCTGAAATAAAAACCCAATACTAACTTATTTTCAACGTCCACTTTTTTCAATTCCTTTCTTTAACTAAACACATCCTATGGTCATGCACTTGTTATAGCTGTTTCCAAGGCACGCACTGCTCTTCAACATAAGAAGCCTTGTTGTCTATCACATCATTTTTACTTAACCACAGTATAAGAACTTACAGAGCAAGTTTAAACCTCAGCTCACTTGAAATATATGCAAAGTCCTGAAAAACATGCTGAACAATGGCATCATCAGGAAGCCTTTTAAATAGAGCAGCGTTAATAGGTGTAATTAAAA